TGAAAATGAAACCTACATCTGAGTTGTGAAGCATAATAAACTTTTTATAGAAGTTGAGCCTTCATGACTAGTCAATTTATTTTCTATCCAGTGTACCCTATTCAGACTACTTTCACAATATCTCTTAATCCTGAAAGAATGTGAGGTGTTAAAATAGGAAAACCTTCTTTGGCCCTATAGATTGAGAGGTACCTTAAATGTAAACAACTGCAAACGAGAGCCTTCTAGATGTGGGCACCTATGTCTTGTATAGAGTTGGAGATGTATTTCCTTGTTTCTCAAAGACATGATAATCTCCTTCCCAATAATAAAAGATTTGATGTACTGAGATTTGTTTCATGTATACATCTATAAAGAATAGTTTCAAAAGATCAGAGAAAAGCATTATATAATGATATATCATAGGCTTTATTAATGGTCAATGTTTGCATTCATTTTTAGAAGCTTAGCTCTTGCTAAGCATTTTTAAGCAAAAGCTAATAAACGAGAATCATTTGCCATACAAAAACTATATTCACAAACAAGAATTTAATCAAGTGAAAGCTAAAAAACACAGGAAAAAATACAAAACACTGCTGAGTCGATTAAACCGCTTTCTATCGCTAAATATATTTAGAATGACACAAGCATACTGAACAGAAAATCAATTTTGTGGACTCAGTCTAAGTAAGACCAGCGTTAAGAGTGTCATGCAATTCACGATTTTCTTTTAAAAAGAAATTTTTTTAAACCAAATCACTTGAACAAAAGGTCTTCTTTTCATTTGAGGTGAAGACAATCTGTTTCCCAAACGGATTCTCCTTTTATACTAAAATAGCAAACTGTATGAACTCTAGCTCCTCTTCCCAGGTGCTACTTATACATGACTTTGCAAAATGACTTAACATAGAAGTACTTTCCTGTTAACAGTGTCATGGCCATAAATAATCCATAAAAAAAAGAAAATGATCAAGTGCAAATGTAAGAAAACTTCCTTTAAAGAATTACCCAAACCCAGCACACAAGCAGGATCGCTATTACACAAGCTAAGAAGTACAACTTATGAACGTGTGTATGATGATAAACGCACACTAAAGACCACCCTCTATGAAGTTTTAGTAGTGTTGCCAAGTTAATAATTCCTTCAAGGCACTGAAGAATTATGTAGATGGATTTTCCAAAATATAACTAACAATTGCTTAAATTGTTAAAGAGCCCTGAGTCAGAACTTTCAATAGCTTCCTGAAATTACAGATTTCAGACACAATGGCACATTTGTTTATTGTATAGAAAATTACAAGACCATTTTGCTTTTTGGAGGAAAGAAGTAATGTTTATGAAACAAAATCAGACAGACTGCACAAGAAAAGTAAAACACTCAGCAATATTATCTTTCTTACACATTTTGTGTCAATTGTAACTTGTAATTACGGATTTAGGCACCAAATTGATGTGGCAAGTCACCTTTCTTGTACCTACTGCTTCCTCAACAAAATAAAAATCTCAATTTTAACCTCAGGTTTCCATCTCCTCCTTAGTCACAAAGATGAAAAAATGCTGGAAAACTAATACTCTGACAGAAAAAGAGGTAGAAAATTCCAAGGTAGCAACTTACACAATTTTAATTCACCGGTTCTACTAACTAGTTCATATTTGTATACTCTAGTTGCAGCCACTACAAACCACTTATCAGCAAATTGAGGCTCAATCTAAAATATTTTCCCCTTCACTGCAGCAAAGCAATGTATACATGAGACAGCATTAAGTAGTTTCTCTTCAAATTTAATGTTTTGAAGAAGTACAACTGTAATTAATACTGTTATAGTTTTATATATATGTTAAAGTTACAAGGCTATGATTATCAAGTAATATCAGTAAGCATTCCTATCATAATATTCAAGCAAATAAAATCAGGTTGCATTTTTGAGAGAAAAATACATTTTGAAACAGTTACAAGTAGACTAAAAGAAAACTGACATTTTCAACTAAGAGGCACACAAAATTTGCGAAAATCTATTACCTTCCCAATTTAGTACAAATTCAAAGCTAACCTAATTCTAATGATTAAAATGTGTTTCTCCCCTCTGGCTCAAAATGAAATAACAAACCCTTCTAATTAAAAGATATTTAAAACCTACTCAATTACAACTGATGATAATTGGGAGGGAGGGGAGAAATTCTGTCTCCCTCAGATTTGATATTTACCATCACTTTAGATCTTGCAAACACAAACAAACTCTTAAGATAATTCAGGTGTTTCTTGACTTATACTTAATCAAAATTCTATTCCACTGGAGGAGGGAGAGGGGGGTTGTTGCTTAATGGGTACAGAGTTTCAATTCTGCGAAATGAGAAACTTCTGGAGATCTGTTTCACAGCAACGTGAATATACTTAACACTACTCAACTGTATGCTTAAAACTTGTTAGGATAGTAAATTTTATGGTTTGTGTTTTTAACCACAATTTAAAAAATGCAAAAAATTCTATGCCGAAATTCAATTTTTATACAAATTATTCCTATAAATATTTTAGATACTCTGAGAGGGTAAGTGGATAAATGCTTTTCCTTTCGGATTTTTTTTTTTAAGCAAGCTGTTCTAAAGTCTACAATTTCCAAAGCAATTATCAGTTAAACTACACTAAAAACTGCCTGAAAGACCCTTCATTCAATTGAATATACTCTCTACACTTACTGCTTTGATAAAATCTACATGATCCCCATTTTTCTCTAAACTCAGAAACTGACTTTTCTTTCTTACTTACTGCAACCCCTGCCATCCTCCCTATCCAACTCCATCACCAATTGTCCTAGTTCGTAAGGTTAAATATTTCTTAGTCCAAAAGGGTCCAAAACTCATAATAAACAAAGAACAGCAACTGGGCAACACATAAGTAGACAGTCTATTTCTACCATGTAAAAATGACCTAGAAAGCTCTGAAATTTGAATTGGATATATCTTAAGCAGCATGCATTGCAATATGCTAAAATGCTCTTACAGGCTAAAGCCATCAAATATATAAATTTAAGAAAGTTATTTTCAACATTGTCAATTAATTTTATGCCTCAGTAGCTAGATGGTCAATCTGCAATGTTTAAAATTACAAATAACCAAGCATAATTTGGCCAGCTAAACTAAAACACTTGTGTGATATAATATTCCTATACTAATACAAAATGATCTTCTCTTGAAAAACTTTCTTGCTCCCAATAAAATTAAATATGTATATAGTATAAACAGTAAGAATGTTAAATTATGTGAAGAAAAACTATTAGAATAGCACCATCTGGTAAGTTGTATCTATGTTTTGGGTAACAGAGCTGACAATGTTAGAAGAATAAAAGAAAAAAAAAATGTGGTAGGAGTGAGGGGGTACAGAGAGGGAATCCAAATACTACTTAATGACAAGTCTTCCAAAACATTAGGAAGAAATGTTATCAGTGTCTTTAGATCCCTTCTTTTTGAAGGGAATACTTCAAATATACAATGGCTGCATGATAAATTCTGTATGTGCTTAGAAGCTGACAATTTTTTCACTGTTGCGTACCTTGCCCCTGAAGCCCAATAAATATGTTTTTGAATGAATGCATGTCAGTTTTTTTTTTTTTTTAGACGAATCTAGGAAAAGAAAAAGCTCTTTTGAGGCACAAGGTAAAGAGATGATAATGACAAGGAAACATCCTAATCGGGAAAGTACTGCTGAGACATATAAGAGGTAGCAGTTTCACAGAGTTAGAGCAAAGTCATTAAACAATTAAGTTCTTAATCTTATTCTCTCTCACAAACTGAAAATAAGTTTAAAATAATTTTTTAGGTGCTTAAAAGACATGAATAGAGAAACATTTTCTTTTCACTAGACAAATTTCAATGTGGTACAAACAAAGAAGTACTATAATTATAGTGACTTTATGACTTTTGTAATAGTTTATAAGTTATTATATTTTTAGTATGGAGGAAATAAACTAGTCTGGAAGATGAAACTGCCTTTTAGGGATATAAGTTTAAGCACTGCAGCTCAGAAGACAGACAACAAGAATTTAAGTGAAGTAAAGCTCCTGACCATACAATTCTCTGTTTGGCCAAGCTATGCACGAGTCAGCTAGATGTTCCCTCCTTACAAGTTGATCTACTGGAAAAGAGATGGGCAGCCTCTGGCATGGAAGAGAAGGAAAACACTGACTTACATTGTTTTCAGATCTGAAAGAAAACAGTCTGTTTGTCTCTTTATGTGAACATCATCAGACAGATATTCTATCTTTTCATAACTTCAAAATACAGTATATAGTAGATACTATTGTAAACAGCTGATTAATTATATAATTGTAAATATATATTTATTTATAATCTAGCAGTAATGAACCCCAAAACACTTATTTATGTGTATATTCATTTTAGATGCTGAAAGATTACTCATTCCAAGGAGAAAAAATAATTAGGTGTTCTAGAGTAAACAAAACAAAACCACAGGTAATCAGACATATTTCTGTAAATGTCCTAGTCATTCTTTCTAAAGTAAGTATCTATCAACTGGTTATTTACTAGGTCTTGGATATTGCTGGAAGTTCAAATAGCATCCCCATCGTTAGGTATGAAGAGAGACCCTGTTCTTTACAGTAAGCTCTACTGTGTGAGAGAGAGTGGAAGCGAGGCCTATGATGAAGGTAGAATCAGTAACACTGGCAGAATTCAGACACGGAGGAGAAAGGACCGCTGCCTTTGGACAGTGCATTACCCTTCTCGGATCACTGCTACTCAGCACGTTAGAGCAGCTAAACTGAACCTTAGAGACCCAAACAGGGCAATATCATTTCACTGGTCAGATCAAGCCTGGATAAGTAACCACTGGGGAAACTGAGGCACACTTCCCACAGACAGTTTTTTAAAAGCTGGCTGAACAAAACAGTGTACAAATTAATATAAGAAAGGCAACCGTTAACAGTCAGTTAATAGGTGCTCTTTTATTGGATGACTCCCCCCACCCCCTTCAGTTCCCCACTATGATTGCTTATTTTTCCTTTTCATGTCTATCAGTCGTTTTGAAACTGGCAATTTGATTCAAGTTAAACAATTTTCCTTTGAATCCAGAAAATAAGTTAAATGCAAACTTAATATTCTCTCATTCTATATTTCCATGTACTCTAAGAATTTAGAAACAATCACTTGATAACTTTATGTTATCTTAAAAAGAGAATCCTCTCTTCAGTATTCCCTTAACCATGCAGAACTTGTACTATAATTTTATCGTTTAACATACATGACATAATGGTTTGACTTCCCCCTTTCATTTGATGCATGACTTTTCTGAGTACCTGTATCAGCTCACTGTGTAAAATCATGATAAATTGAAAGATAGCTGATCATAAGGAAGTATATCTTTTGAGGTCTAACAAATTTATAAACTATAAGAGAAAATGCAATAAAAACAAAAATAACAGGAGATCCTTAAAGGATTTTCCCCCTTAGAAGTCAAAGGTAAATCACCTATGAATTACATGGATTTGATGTTTCAGATTGAAAGGAAAAAAACAAAAAAAACAAAAAACACAGCTTCAAACACTGTTTTGTAGAGTTTTTGTTGTTGTTGTTCTGGTACACTTACAGTCTAATTATACTCTAGTAAAGAAACTATGATATTAAAAATTAATTCATTAGAACCTCCAACTAGCTCACTAAGATCTCATGACCAAATACTTTAGCTAACAAAACACACTGAGTTTTTAAGTTAATACAAAAGAATCCTTCGTTCAATAGCCTTTCGGCAAATAGGACATTCACTCATTCGGTCTCCACAGAGCTGGCACGTTCCATGGCCACAAAGGAAAATCATATTCTTCAGACGATCCAAACACACAGGGCACATTGTCTGGAATGTGAGATAACAAATAAAGTAATAAATGCTGAGACATTTTCTATTTTAAAAGTGTAATGTAACAACTCTGTAACATCATTAATTTTCTTTTATTGTTTTAGTCAAATAATCTTTTGTTGCTTTAAAATTTTTAAACAGTTAAAATATCATCCTTATAAAACAGAAATATTGGTTGTACTGTCAGGTCGGTATAAAAGGTACTATCTAAAATAAATATTACATAAAACAAATAGTATATAAAATTGAAAATTCAAATGCCAAAATCTAATAGGAAAAGGATGAAAATAGCCCCACTCAGTCTGACTCACATTCTCCAACTCTAGGTACTATGCTGTTCTCGCATGAAAATAACACAATGTATGGGTGGCGGGGGAGCAGTGAAGGGATGTTGCTGAGAACACACACATACCAAGCACCATGCTGGATGTGATCCAGTCTCAAGGCCTACGTCACTCCCACTTCAAAAAAGAGGAAACTGAGGCTTAGTGGGCTTAAAGACTTCCCAGGGCAAGCTATAATGTGAACTCAGGTCCACGTGGCCCCAGAGCTCTTGCTTTTAAAAATGATGCTGCACTGTAATACTTTCAACGTAGACCCCCTTAGTTAAAAACAATTAACCTTAGTTATATATTGTTAAATGTAACTTAATCAACTTAGAAGAATTAAGGAGGACACTTCTGTGAAGTTTTCTAGAAAATCACATATTTACTTACAAAGCACATTTTGCATTTTATATTTATAAAAACATATTTTACTTTAATATATCATAATACTTCATGCTGAATTAGACCTTTCCCAAATAACACAGAAATGAAATAATTAAATTAAAATGTCTAGATTAATAAACCAGGCCTAAAGCCTATATGAAAATGTGGTAACCAACTCTGACAATACCAGAAATCATTGTGAAGAAAACAACAGAAAAAAAGAACCATAATCTAACTTGCTAGCTCCATTCTTCCAAAGAAAATTTTCACATGTATCCTTGAAGTTTTGAGAAGCAAAGCTGTAGAAAAATCGTTAACTTTTTATTTTAAAAAGCCAAAGCAGCTTTTTAAAATTAAATTAGTTTCTTTTTCATTAAACTTTCCAGAGGTCTATGTAGTTAATTAATAACTTCCAAAAGTAAACACATCTGTGCAGTCTGGGTTAAGTTACTTTGGATTAATATATGCTTAATAGCACATAAAATTAATCTTTGTCTTTTAAAGAGACATTGGGGTAATAGAAAGATTGGAGATTTAAAATTTAAAAAGAGACTTATTCAGATGCTTTCTCTTGGTAACCTTGAAGGGGTCCCTGAAAGAAATTCCAACATTCCACAGAAAATAAGTTTTAACTGTTTAAATACTTTAGTGATGAAATATGGCCATGAAGATTATTTAAGAAAGAAAAAACTTCAGATAGAAAAGACAAGAGTGAGACTCTTAACAACATGGCAACACTGATGTGACTGCCAAACTAGAGAAAGAACACCCTTTGCTACTCAATCCTTTCATGTGATTCAATCCTTTGAATCAAATCAGATTTAACTGGTGGGTCAAATGGTAAGCTAAGGGGGAAAAAAAGACTTTTTTATTACCATATACCTAAAAATTTTAGGTAACTTCATTTTACTGTTGCTTTTATTAAATATTAAGCAGATATGAAAGAGTACTTCTGTTGGTATGTATAAGATATAAAGAACAATATAACCACCACCCACCTTAACACATGAATATATATACTCCTCCACCCCTCACTGATAACCACTATTCTGAATTTTGCATTTATTTACCTTTCCCTTGCTTTTCTTTATAGGTGTGTGTGCGTGTGTGTGTGTGTGTGTGCGTGCATCCTTTTCACCTTTTTACTGAAGTATCACATCTATACAGAAATGTGCACAAATCATAAATGTACAGTTTAATAAATGTTCACAAACCGATCAAATGCAAGTAATCAACTTAGATCATGAAATGGAACTATCAATACTCTAGAAATTTCCCTTGTGCCCCCTCCCAGCCATCTCAGCCAAAAAAAACCACTACCCTTGATTTTAATCACCATCTGTGTGATTTTTTTTCTTCCAAGTTTACATCCCCAAACAATATCCTATTTAGTTTTACGAGACAGTGACAAACTTTCCCAAGGTGTTTTTACTAATTTATATTCCCACCAGCACTGTATGAGTTACGGCTGCTAAGTATTTTGCCTAAACACTTGATATTGACAGTTTCTAACATTTTTTTCCCCTCAATCTGATAGGTACGAAAAGATACCTCAGTGTGGTGTAGCATTTTTTCATGTTGGTCACTGGTGCGTTTCCTATTTTGTAAAGTACTTGATAAAATCTTCTCATCAGACTTTGCTGATTGCAAATATTCAAACACTACAAGTGATACACTAATATGAACCACGCTTACTACAGAAATCACTAGTAATTTTATAGAAAAAGATGAAATGCTGTTCTTCGAGTCACTGTTCACCATGAAGAAATCACCGTTACCTGCTCTTTAATGTCCTGTAACTGCTGCTGCAGCTTCTGCACGTCTGCATTGACGTTGGTGTTATCCTTATCCTTTTGTAACACCGGAATATTCCCACTTGCTATATAGTACAGATAAAGAATCTTAGTGTTACTGACTGTTTTGAAGCAAGAATAATTCTTTATTTCTAAAATCATTAGTTTATTTATTAAAAACACAAGACTATTATTAGAATCCTCTTAAAAAATTTATTTTCCCACGTGGACAACAGAAACAGCAGTGACATTCACATTATACTCCTTCATTTATAATCTTTGGAAAACAAATAGGTTTACACATTAATTTCTAATTATATTTAACTCAGCTAGACAATAGTCCACACACAGATTTCTGGGTTTTCCAAGGCTCTCCTTGTTTTCTTATTGATCTGAGATGAGGAACTCCATGAAAGAAAGGTCATGCTCTACTAAATGGAAGGAAATTTTTTATTTCCCTTTTCCTACTCTCTAGATTCTTGGTCTTTTACTCTAGTTAATCTGTCCCCAGGATTTTTATCCTGCCCTATCGGTGATAAAGAAAAAAAGCTCTGGGCATAAGTAGCTACGCTAATGTTCTTCCTCATCTGTACACAGAACAAAGAAATCAAAGAGACCATCCAGCTTATGTCTAGTGCAGAGATGAAAAATATTTTTATACAGCTGTACTACAGGTGACCCTTGAACAATGCAGGGGTTAATCAACAAATAACATAGCCTGCCCTCCAAATCCATGGTTTCTCTACATTCCCAGATTCAACAAACCACACACGGACCGTGTAGTCCTGTAGTATTTACTACTAAAAAATATCCAAGTTTTGGGAGTTCCCTGGTGGCCCAGTGGTTAGGATTCCAGGCTTTCACTGACATGGCCCAGGTTCAATCCCTGGTTGGGGAACTGAGATCCCGCAAGCTGTGCAATATGGCCAAAAAAAAAAAAATCCAAGTTTAAATGGACCCTGGCAGTTCAAACCTGCAATGTTTGAGGGTCAACTATACTGAAAAGGTTGAAGGTAAATAATTGACTTTTCATCTTTCCCCTTGTTCACTGTCACAAAGAATTACTATTCCATAAGATACTTAAACACACAAGGTAAACCTATTTCATAAAATAATGAGGTTAATACTTGTGTGAATTGCGAAAATAATTTATAATATGATGTCCTCCCACCCTAAGACACAATAAATTTCATCTTAAAAATAGCCGGCAAATTTTCTTTAAGCAAGAATACTACAATGCTCTTTATAACACACATGGAGGTTTCTTAAAAGACTAATGTTTAAAGGTCCATAATCATATTACAAGTTAGAAAAATACAATTTCAGGTTTCTAATAATGCAACAAGAGCAAAACCCTACCCCCGTTCCTTGTAGATTCAAGTCACATACCTTCTGTTTTACAAGGAGACAGTGTACTATGAGAAGACATGTCTATGAAAGTCCCAATAAGAAAGCGAAGTAAGAAAATCCACTTACAGATATCATCAGTGGCATCCTCTGAACTTTTCCCTCCACAACACATGATGAAGGGCACTCTTCGTTCAACTACTGCCCGACACTGCACACACTTTTTCATCAGATTAGCACAGTCTGGCAACAGCAATAGGACACTTCTCACAAAAGAGAACATGAACAGGGTTGCCTTCCTCTGCTCATTTTTCATAACTTAAATTTAACACTGAAATAAACACTATACCAATACACAATTCTACCTTCTTAAAATGTTATCAACCTAAGAATGTATATTTTTGATTGGTAGCCTCTAGAATACAGAGCCCATGATCATGAAACTAATGACATTTTCTAATACACTGGAATAAATTGTGAGGAGGAGGAGGTTCTAAGTTTTTTTAAAATATGTAACGTAAATATTTCAAGATCTTAAGGCTTGAGAATAAAGGTGGGAGATACCTTTCATAAATTTAACTACTACAACAAGAATTATAAGGCTGCTCACGATACTTTTTAAAAAAATACTTCCTTTTGTATATCCCTTAAATTCCTAAAATATGTTGAACAATTCTCTCCCTTCTATCAGACTGACGTAATCTAACAAGGAAATTGCTTAGTGACTACTTTTTTAATGTAGCAGTCAGGAAAATATCAAAAATTTATCATAATGGACTATCTTTCTAATACCTATATATTGGGAGAATGCTTCCCCATTCCAAGAAGAAATACCCAGGCACAATTCTCTGTTATGGATTATTAATACTACACCTAAAGTTATTAATTAATTGTAAAATAACACAGTGTTTCAACATTCTTTCATTAGCATTTATTATGAAAAGTATACTCCATATCTTAGCCTATATACCAAGTGTCTTTGTCATTTCAAAAAGAGGAAAAATAGCAAAAACTGTGGCAGGATGTCTTATGACAAGACAGTAAACCTTAACAAAGCACAAAACCACCAATGTGGACAAGGGGGTCACATACTCCCAACAGTACTTATGCTGGTGGATGGAGGATAACAATTCTCTGTCAAGGCCGATCCTGTGCCGAGGCCTAAACAGAGATGGGTCTGATGCTGGCCTAGGCAAGATGCACTAGGTAGGAGCTAATGTTAGTAGATACCTGGTTTGGGGTTTGTCTTCAATATGAGGGCAGGTTTTTTTTCTTGAATTTAAAGAATTAATTTAATTGCCTGAGTATATAATATATAATCACAATTATTTTAAATTCTTGTAGCTATTGTTAGGTTGTTATATTGTTTATATAAAATCTTTCTTCCATCCCTCCAAAAGGGATATAATTTCTCCTTCCTCTGATTACTGTGACGTGGGGACTGGACCACCTGCTGTACTGTATACTTGAGAAAGGGACATTTTCCACCTCAATTTCACCTTCCCTAGCAAATAAATGTTTACCAATGGTGTGTAAAATGGAGAAAACTCTACTTCTTAGGTTTCTTGTAAAGATAAAAGAGGAAACACTCAAAAAGAGATTAAAATGCCTGGTACAAATTAAGAGCTCAATAAAAGTTAGCTGTTGCTTTTGTTACATTCTAAAGCAAAAATAATGTAAAAACGTTGGGAAACTCCTGGGGGAAAATATTACTTTAAGGCTCTAGAATCTGTATTACCAACTACCAACTATAACCAGCTTTCAAGTCACTTTGGTCTCTGACAGGGTCAGCAAACCCAACCGGTCACTTGTTTTTATAAATAAAGTTTTAATGGAAAACAGTCCCGCCCATTTGTTTCCATACTGTCTGTGGTTGTTTTTGCACTACAATGGCAGAGGTAAGCAATTGGAAAGAGTTGAGGTGTTACTACAGAAATCATGTGGCCCACAAAGCCAAAAATATGTTTTATTTGACCCTTTACAGAAAATGTTTGCTAACTCCTGGGCTATGAAAATTTACATAACCTGAGCTCTTTTTTACTTAAGACAGAATTCTCTTTCTTCACGCCCTCTGACAGCTGATAATAGCCATTATACCAGTCTTTGGTAAACAGAAACAATTACGTGGAGCAGAATGTTACAGTAGAAAACCTTGATCCTTTCTTAGTTGACGAGCTGCCTATCAAAATGAAAAAAACAAATAAACAAAACACCAATGCTTAAAGCAAATCTGTGCCAATGAGATTAATCTATTACACAGTTTGTTATTTTAGTCAAATGTTATATGAAAAACCAAGACCTAACTGACTGAAACACCATGCTTTACTTTGGGTCCATTTAAGTGAAGTATAAATTGTTAAACTTATTTAAAATTCTTCACTGACAAAAAGCAAAAAAGAAGAGGAGGATATTAATACTAAGTATATTAACTTGAAAAGAACAAGGGAGATATATAAAAGCAAAGTTTCAAACTCCTCTTAGACTTTAATATCATCCTCACAAAGAAGATTTCTATAAGCTCTCTGGACATAGAGGTTAAGGAAGGTTAAGAAGGCCAGAAATTATTGCCCCAAATGGTTGCTGTGGGTGGCTCAGCAGGGGGGGAAAGTATACAGGAGAGGCAACATAAAGGTGAAGATGAAGATGTGTTAATTTCATATGTGAAAAAAGCCTAGACTAAATGTATCAACACTCATTTTCAGAAATAAATTTCTCCTGTGTGTGAGAAGTGGTTATTTTGTGCTCATACAACAAATGAAATAAAAAGCTAAGCTGGACCCTCCTACACTGTTGGTGGGAATATAAATTGGTACAGCTCCTATGGAGGACAGTATGGAGGTTCCTTAAAAAACTAAAAATAGAGCTACCATATGATCCAACAATCCCATGCCTGGGCATATACCTGGAGAAAACCATAATTTGAAAAGATACATGCGCCCCAATGTTCACTGCAGCACTATTTACAATAGCCAGGACACAGAAGCAACCTAATGTCCACTGACAGAGGAATGGATAAAGAAGATGCAGTACATATATACCATGGAATATTACTCAGCCATAAAAAGGAAGGAAAGAATGCCATTTGCAGCAACATGGATGGACCTAGAGATCATCATACTAAGTGAAGTAAGTCAGACAGAGAACGACAAGTATTGTCTGATACTGCTGAACTTGTTTACAAAACAGAAATAGAGTTACAAATGTAGAAAACAATCTTATGGTTACCAGGAAGGAAGGAAGGGGGAGAGGGATAAATGGGAGACTGGGATTGACATCTACACGCTACTATATATAAAACAGATAACTAATAAGGACCTCCTGTATAGCACAGGGAACTCTACTCAATACTCGGTAATAACCTATATGGGAAAATAATCTAAAAAAGAGTGGATATGTGTGTAACTGACCCACTTTGCTGTACAGCAGAAAGTAATACAACACTGTAAATCAACTATACTCCAAAAAAAAAAAAAAGAAAAAGCTGAGCTGGGAGAATGCAGTACATCGAGTCTTCCCTAACACTTAGGACTAAGGAGGGAA